ATCTCAGTAAGTTAACCGATTCACGTTATAGTTTACTTTATCATTGATACTGCTTTAGATAACTAAAAACTTTTAGCACTCTTTAGTTTAGTTTTCACATTATTATCTATTCTATTTCAATGTAAGATTTGTATTTGATGCTGACATAAAAAATAAATTCATGCATACTAGGTAACTCGTCCATGTACATAAAGAAACATGAATTATAGAATTATATTCATGTCATCACTAATAAAATGAGCTCAAGTTGACTGATATGAAGCCTATTGTTTCACATTTGCAGACATGACGAAAACCGCAAAACGGATCGGTACTGGTATGACATCCTTTGCAAGTATGCCCAGCGGGAAGTACCACTTCACAAATATGCGCTAGCCAGGAGCAAAGAAGTGTAGCGCTGCGGTGCACAGTATTGATAACTGTCCATCACACAAGCAGACCAGATGCATTTACGACATGTTTGGGGAAAATAATCCCTTGCAAATGTGCGGTTATCACAAGGTATGTAATGATAAAACATGATCATTTTACCTGTGCTGGTGACCATTGCCATATAAAGGTACATTACTATATTTCACTTCCAGTAGTATGCACATTTTCATAACAGAAGCATGTTCATTATTTTATGTTTGTATTGTGTCAATAAAAAAGAATGTTGTTTGAAACGCTTGGAAATATTTTTTCAGCCTAGTGAAATCTAACACTTTTTCCAGTCTGCTCAACAGACAGGGGAATCAGCCTGAGCAGCCAGCCCCACAGACCAGTACAGTCGTGCAGCCAGTCCCACATGCAATAGTACAGTCAGGTAGCCAGTCCCACAGACCATCGGTCGTGCAGCCAGTCCCACAGACCAGTACAGTCTGCAGCGCCAGTCCCACAGACCAGTACATCATGCAGCCAGTCCCACAGACCAGTACTAGTCGCAGCCAGTCCCACAGAGACCAGAAAAAGTGGCCAGTCGTGCAGCCAGTTTCCACCACACCAGTATAGAAAGATAGGAAAGCAGCCAGTGCCACACACCAGTACAGGAAAGAGAGAAAAGCAGCCAAAGTGTCACACACCAGTACAGGAGAAAGCCGCCAGTGCCACAGTTCAGTGATAGGAAAGCAGTCGGGTCGACCAGTACTCGGGCTAATGAATCCGAATGTAATCAAGTGCGGTCTATGTGGCAAAGAAGTCAACGTGGGATTATACTGAACACCTGTCGGATTAATATACCCAAGAGTGTTGCAGACGTTGTGGCGCAAACGCGTCTGGGGTGCACCTGACTACTTCAGCATAATATTGAAAGTACCACCATCATTTGAGTAGTTTTGGTAGACGCAGAAAACTCGTGGATCCCAACTATGCTCCTCCCACATCATCATTTGTGATTCATCCTGTAGCTGCACATTGCCATCCATCAGTTGCTGCTGACACAAAAACCCATTTACACCCAAGGTAGTTCCAACAAAGCTTGACACAACACCCTTTACCCTGAGGCTCTGAAATAAATTGGGCGAAGTTTTCTCCCAAGCAATTCAGTAGAGCTTCATTAAACCAGCACCAGAAATGGATTTCACAGTGTCTCTATGACAGCAAATGGACAGTTGAAACAACAATTTTCACATAACTGGTTTCATCCACCAACAGCCTGCGCTCTCCACAACTTCCCTCCGATCCAGATAGCTACTTTAGATGGCGCATGTTTTTGCGGGCACCAATGCGTATGTGGGTATCCTTGCTTGAAATGCACGAGTATGAAGTAGAAGTACGCACTGGGAATCTACAATAAAAGTGAGGGAGTCATTGATATGACTCCAGATACTACCTATCGACCAGACTACCCACGCTGCCAGTAAGTGCATGGTTTCTGTCTGCCCCTTGGAGATGGAGATTCTCAGGCAACTAGATCCTTCCCATAGAAACAAATTCCCGGGCTGTTCACCACTCAGCTTGCTCTGGACAGGAAATGTAATTTTGCTGAAGCCACGTAATCGTAGGAAATATGCCTGCTACTTGCAGCAAGCATTCATGAGCTCACAGTGAGGAGGCAAGACGGAGCAAACTACCTGCTCATGTGAGCTTCAATAGAAAAGAGAAGTGCCTGGATCCAAGCTCATGACAATTTATCAGCGTCCACTCACCGTTTTGCCCCCTACCCCCTGGCATATGTTTGAGACAGTACATGCCAACGAGATCCTGGGTCATCTTAATGAGGTTACAAAGGTGTCATTATCGTCAACATAACGTAGAATCCTGAAGCTTGATTCTAAAAGAAGGTGAAGTGTGTGTGTGTGTGTGTGTGTGTGTAGGCGAAATATATGTTAAACTTCAATTGATTTTCATCATTTATATTAATATGTAGTTTACATATTTATATAGATCACCAAAAAACTTACTGGTGTAGGGACATCAAGCTACGGGATGACCAATATTGGTAACGAAGTTTGGGCAAGTCCTGAACTGTGTTTTAAATAACCTGGTGAGGGAGCTTGGTCTAGATGACTATGTCA